CAGCATGAGTTCGATCCAGGCCAGGGAATTAACAATTTTGTATCAAATAATTTTGTATTAATACAAAATTAATACAAAGTCAAGATATATAATACCTAAACAAGCAAACAAATACCACTGGTCCCTAGGAAGATGTTAGTATGTCATATAGATTTACTGTGAAATGATTTGTTTTAAAGATTTATTTATGCATACAATAACTGGGGTACAGGCCAGAGGTGTGGGGGTGGTGTTGAGAGGATTCACCAGAGACAGAGTGGGGAACAGAACAGACGGATTGACTGAAATACACTGCTGGGGGAGCAGCGGGTGAGTCAGGAGAGGTCTGCTGCGCCATGTGGGTTGCTCCCTGGCCTGCCGGGATCGAACTCTTACTGTAGTGGCTGCAGCTACCTTCATAGTGTTGACACTAAACCCTTTGTGACACCAGAGAAGCCCCTTACTGCGAATCTAGATTAAGACCCCCAGCATCGGGCCTCCCCTGGTGGTGCAGCGGTTGAGCGCTGGGTTGCGAGGCTGCCCGCAGCCTCTGCAGCACCAGTTCAATCCCAGGCCACCGGCAAGGATCCCACCAAAAAAAAAAAAGAAAAGACCCCCAGCATCACTGACATCACTGAGCTATGTCAGCGTACTGAGACAGTGGGAGAAGGAGAGCCGAAGGTAATTATAGTAAACTTGTTTGGCTTCATCCTCATAAAGTTATGGGAGGAAAGTGCTTTTAATCCTAAATCCTAAATAAAGAGACCCAAGAACAGAAGCCTAAAGGCTGGAGCCAGGTTCTCAGACATAGAGGGATAAATCCAGGTTCCAGACCAGATTCAGCCTGAGGTCCATGTCATTTACCTGCAGCACAGCCCGGTTACCAGGCCCTTCCTACCCCCAAACACTCCCGGTCCCATTTGTCTCTTCTCTGGTCTCTAGTCGTCCTCTTCCTGACCTCAGGCCTCAGGCTGCTGGGGAGGTCACAGGAGGCCTCTCTACCTTACATGGCCAGAGCTACCTGGAGAGTATACAAGTGTGACCTGCCCAAAGACTTAGACACTAGAGAACTTGGGAGAGTTCTGAACTTGGGCCATGACAGGTAGACTCAGACTAGATTGGGAATCACAGAGCTCTGCTACTGCCCAAGACATGAGAGCAGGGGACAAACCCAGTCAGAACAGATGGTGCCAGGCTGCAGGCAAATCCTATTCCGGGAAGACAAGTCTGCAAACAAGAGAGGGAGAGGTTTGGAGGAACAGCGTAAAGCCCAGTGAGCCAGTTATGGAGCCGTCATCTGCGAATGTAGCTAATTCTAGAACAAAGTTCACATATTGGCACCTAGTGCCACATCTGCTCTGATGCTGGTGCAGCTCTAGCACTTACTTCCTTTGGCAGGTAAAAATACACTTTCTAAAGACCAGTTGTTCAGCAGCCACATGGAAAGGCAGCACCCCCCACCCCCACCACCAGCGCCCACCCTTACACAGCACAGTGCCCTCCATGCCTGGCCTGGCCTCAGGTGCTGCTCCATCAGCCTCAGTCCTTTCCACTTTATTCCACCCTCTGTCTCCTTCTCCCAGTGAAATCCAAATTCAGTTAAAATATCACAGCTATGGAACTTTCTCAAGGTTTAATCTCTTCTTCCTCAATCTCCCAGAAACTAGAGATTATGTTAAGGATATTTCAGTTTTCCTGGATTACATAAGAGTGCTCTAAATGTTGTTGCAAAAATGAGTAAGATGACCAGCATATCTGAATCTTGAGCCTGGGGCTTCTGGGGCTTCTTGGGTTTCATTTACAATTTAGGAATAAAGCACTAGCCTCACATATCATAATTTTATGAGGACTAAACCAACTGGATTTAATGGAATGCTCTAAGATTGTATATTTTTCTGCTGTGCACATAGATGCACTTGGTAAGTTGACATGACACAAAGATCCTGGGTGGAAGGGCTATAGCTACATCTCTTTCTCTTAATCTGGATTTGCAATAAATGCACCGAATATGTATTGCATTCAAATGATGGAACTGAATAGCTTCTATGAGCTTCTATTAGCTCCATGAGACAAAGATGATGCTCTAGGAACCTGGGTGACACTATGACACTCTTTATAACAGAACAGCGGGCTCCAATGCCTTTGGCACCATCCCATGTATGTTACTCTTAATCCTCTACCCTAATCAAAGTGTATCATGCCACTGGTAATTGTAAACCAATGTGGTACCTACCAACTGCCAGAGGCCACTTTGTCCTAATATGCAGAAAATTATTTTTCAGTACCTTCTTTTGAATTTTGGAATGCTTTAGTCTGGTTTCTTTTCCATTTATTAAATTGACACAATTTGTTGTGCCAGACTGAAGACTCCAAATGAGTAAGACAAATGCAAAGAAAAGGTGATAAATTCCATGGGAGAGGTACAAATATACCTAGTTCTGGTTTGGAGGGAAGAGAAAATGTTATGAACAAGGGAACACATCAGTTAGGATGAGATAGGTCTGCTGCAGTAATCAACATTCCTCTTTCAGCAGCTTGACACCCAAAGTTTCCTTTTCAGTCATACTTTACCTCCAACACACAGCAGCAGGTCTCCCCTCACTGTAACCTCTTGGGTCACAGTGTGACAGAGGTTTTATCCTAACAAGTCCCAAGGTGATTCCAGAATCACCTTGCCGGGGAAGAAGGCAAGGTGCAGGAGTTATGCACTACCTCCTTGTGCTCCTACTGGAAGTGCCATACATCCCCCTCATGTGACATTTCCGTGGCCTCAGCTAGCCATGTGGCCACACCTACCTTCAAAGGGAACACAATCGCAGCCTGCCCCCACAAGGCAGTAAGCTAGCAGCACTCAGTGGAGTTGCCAACCAAACACTATAGACCCAGTCTGTTCCAATAAGCAGAGATAAGTGTGAAGAAGGGCTTCCCAGTGCATGAGAAGCATCAGGAAAAGTGCAAAGATCAGTAGGTCTGGCTGAAGAGGACCAGATAGGGATGCTGGAGGAATAATGGCAAAGGAAGACAGATCCCATTGTGAAAACCTGGCTAAGGAGGTTGGATTTGAGCCAGGAGAGGCTTTAAAGAAACTGTGCTGTAGGGGTTAAGTCACAGCACTATGAAGCTATCTGCAGCCACTGCAGCATGAGTTCGATCCCCAGCCAGGGAGCTGACTCACATGGCGCAGCAGACCTCTCCTGTCTCACACACTGCTTCCCTCAGCAGTGTATTTCAGTAGATCTGCCTGTTCTGCTCCCCACTCTGTCTCTGGTGGATACACTCACCTCCCCCCACCAGCCTGCACCCCAGCTCTTTTATGCATAAATAAATAAATCTTTAAAAAAAAGAAATTATGCTTAGGGGAGATTCACACAATTGCATGTGCAGGAGAGATTAGAGGCGGCAAACTGGAAGCAGTAGATCCATCCGATTTTTACACAAATCCAGGAAAAGGGTAATATGGACTGGAATAAGGATTTTCTTAATGGTGGCAGTACATATCAGCTAATGGAGAGAAAGACTTGACCAGATATGGAACTAATTGAATATGAGATGCAGAGGGGTGGAGGGTCGAAGGTGATGAAGCCAAGGTTTTGAGTTTAGGGGGATGATAGTGTCATACTAAGAGAAGGCTGTGGAAGATAGGTGCATTTGTGAAGGAAGTTTGGGTTTGATAATTGCATAGTAGGGATTTTTTTAAAAAGATTTATTTATGCATGCATGCAAGAGCTGGGGTACAGGCCAGAGGTGTGGGGGGTGAGAGGATTCACCGGAGACAGTGGGGAACAGAACAAGCAGATTGACCAAAGTACACTGTTGAGGGGAGCAGCGGGTGTGTCAGGAGAGGTCTGCTGTGCCATGTGGGTTGTTCCCTGGCTCGCTGGAGGATGGAACTCCTGCTGCAGAGGCTGCGGACAGCTTCATAGGTTGCGTCTTAACCCCTGTGCCACCAGGGAGGCCCCACATAGTAGGGATTTTAATTTTATTTTTGTATCCAAGCACCCAAACCAGTATTCAACAGTAGTATATGCTGACCACGCAGTACCAGTAGAACACAAATGGAGAAGTCCCCAGGCTATTGTTAATGCACAAATGGCACTGCTTCATGATGCCAAAGCTAGGAAGGCAGCTTTACCTGTTTGAAGACATGAGATGAGATGCCAAGAAAGCACAGAGGAAAAAGTGAGGAAGGAGATTGAAGAGGGAACTTTGGGAACCTGACATTTAGGGGCCAGAAAGTTGGACAGGAATCCAAGCAGGCACGTATTTGAGGATCAGCGAAGGATACTGGGAGCCGCTAAGAGACCATTGGGTTAGGCAACCCAGGTCCCCAGGGACGCACGCGGGAGCGCTGAAGGCAGGCCTCCCACCAGCGAGAAGAGGCAGTTACTGGAAGTGGCAGTTGCTGACCAAGAGGCGGAGGAGGGTGAGGGCTGGAGGGGGAGGCTGGGCCAATGCGCCTGGGTTTTGTTTGGGTGTGGAGGGGAATAATGAGGCTCCGTGGAGAGAAGTGAAAGATGCAAGACCGAGGAAGTGAAACCAAAGTTGGCTTCAGGGAAGTTAGCAGGAGGGCTGTCCTGCAGAGGGAAGGGCCACTTCCAGCAGACAAAAAGCAAGCGGCTTAGCTTTTGTTGTTCCTGGCAGGCGGCTTCGAGCGCCTAGTGTGTGCGAAGCAGAGTTAATGCTCCTGGCCACCCCCAAACGCGTCCCCTCGGCTTAGTTCTCCATCCCCTGCAGGAGCGTGGCCTGCTCCTGCTCACCAGAGGCGGGGAGGGTGGTTCCTTCGCGGCCTCGGCGGGAGGAGGAACCGGCCGGCCGGGGAAAGGTGCGCTGGCGAGCGCGGCCGGGCGGCGGGGCGGGTCCGGGGAGGCCACACCCTGAAACTACCTGCGCGGGACAGGAAGGGAGAGGGCGAGAGCCACCGCCGGCCGCCGGGCGCGCAGGGCCAGCCCCCGGAACTCCGCGCGCCCCCCGCCCCGCGGCCCCGCGCCCCCCACGCCCCGCGCCCCGGCGGCCATGGGAGCCCGGCGCCCTCGGGGACCACGTCTCTGAGACCCGCGACCGGTCGCCGGCACCATGAGGAGCAATCGGGCCCGCAAGGGCGGAGCGGGCTCCAAGGACTTCGGCGCGGGACTCAAGTACAGCTCGGGGCTAGAGGTGGGCGAGCGCGCGGGGCCGGACTGGGCAGCCTGTGCCCGTCTCGCGCCCCGGCCCCGGCCTTGCTGTGGCCGGGCAGGGCGGCGAGGGGTTCGAGCTTCGTGGCCGTCGTCGGGGCCCGGAAAGCCCCTCGGAGCGGCCAGGAGTCGGGCGATCCAGGCGGGCGCTGAGGCTGGGGCCGCGCGGGCCCCTGACCCCCGGCCCCTGCGGCGCAGCGCTTTGTCCTTGGCACCGGGAACCGCTCCACTGCCCATCTGCGCCGAGCGCCGGCCGGCAGGTGGAATTACCTGTTCGGCGGGTACCTGGCCGAACCTTTGGTACCTGCCCTGCTGCGCGCCAGCCAGCCGGGGTGGAGGCGGGAACCCTCGGGTCCTTGGAGACGCGGAATTTCTCCTCCCGCCTCCTTGTCGCTGGGTCCTTTCCCTGACCTCAGAAAAGTGCTCGGTCTCTGACCCTCCATTAACCGCGCGCTGCTAGTGCACAAACCAGGGGCCAAGAGGGGTGACCTGGGCTGGGAAGGGAGATTTTGGGGTGGGGAGTTGGAGTCCTAGCCATCCTTGACCTCTGCAGGAATTTTATTTTTTGCCCTGGCTAGAAGGCAACTGAGCAACAGCTGCAGAGGGCAACTGGAAGACTGGCCCTTTGGTTGCCATAGAGCCTGGCGCTGAGGGCTCCAGGATAGGCTTGCCTGGGCTTCTCTTGGAGGCCATGGAGCCCCTTGGGAAGGTGATTATGGGAAGGGAGGTGGGGGCATGTGTCACAGGTGCTTTGGAAGACACCAGAGCAGGAGGGCAATGGTGTTGGGCAGAAAGATCCCCAAAACATTAGCTCTTCTTGTACAGACTTGGGGACAGGTTGATACTTTGTTGAAGGACACACCTGGGTGGCAGTGCCAAAGCAACTAGCAGGGGACTCCACCTCTCTGGCCAGTGGAGGCTCCAGGTTTTCTGGAAGAGACCTATGTACACCGGGCCAGGGCTGCTCTCTGCAGCCTTGGAGGCAGGAGCTGTTTTGTGCAGGAGCTTCACCACTCCCCTCCTCTCCCCCCCCCCCCCCCCCCCGCCCCATTTTCTGCTGTTCCAGGGTAGAGTAACATCCTCTGCTGCCCCAGTTACTGCCTACTGTTCTGTCAGGCCACAGTCAGAAACAGTGTCAAGTAAACACATCTCCAATTCATCCTGATTTTAGGGGAGTTTGCAGAAGATCAGGTTCTGGGATTACCCACACTACAAATAGCATCTGGGGCTGGCCCTCTTTCCTCCATTTCTTCCTCTCTGCTGATGGAAGCTGGACTCAGCAGCTGGCCTGGAGGCTTGGACTGCTTTCCTGTGGAGACCCTGCCCTGCTGGGAGGCAGCCCTCCCCGGAAGGACACCTGTTTTCCTTTCAGTAATTGCTCTGTTTATGAATCCCTGTTAATTGCCTACTGGGGCTCTGGGCTCCTGCCTCCTCAGCAGAGGACCTGCTGTGTGGTATCTGTGATTTTAGGGCTGTTTCTCTCCCTTCCACCCCCCCAAGGTGTTTGTATTCCCCAGCTCCCCTTTCTAGGAGGTTCCCTGCTGATCCTGGGAGCTGGGTCCTGGAGTTTCCTTACCACCCAGATCTTCCCCAAGCCCCACAGCCAGCTGACTTCTGTCACCTGAGAGCCTTTGCTTTCTTTCCCTGTCTTTAGGAAGCTTAGCCATCTCCACTTCTTCCACTTCCTTCCTGTGGGCCTTGCTTGTTGTTTTCCTGATGCTCCATCAACCCAACAACCCCAGTCCTGGGCCTTCACTGGATACTCATTGAGAGCCCTGCCGAGACGTGTCAAGATTAGCTGTGTCGCGGTGCCTCCTGAAGGAAGTGGCCCTGCCATGTCCAAAGCTCGGTCCCATGTTGCAGGAAGTCTCCAACTATTCATCCCCACCCCGTGCCTCACTAGAAATCTCACTTCCTGGTGGGTTTGCCGCCAGGTCTGTAGACTCTGCCTTGCCCGTTTCCTTGTCCATGAGGTGCAGCTGCTGCCTTTGGGCCACAGAACCTGGCTGGGGCGTGCTGGGCCCCAAGGGGGCCCCTGTTGCTTCTGACTTCCTTCTTCCTGGTGACTTCCATCCCTGCAGGGATGGAGAAAGGCTGTTTGGTGACACTTGTCTCTGGCTGCCTCTTTCCCAAGGCTGCCCCTGCCGTACCCCCTCCTGTTCCCATCAAGCAGGAAGGGGCCACCTCTGTGTCCCCCACTCTCTCCAGGGGTTAAGCATCAGCACTATGAAATAATCAGCAGCTACTACAGCATGAGTTCTGTCCCTGGCCAGGGTCCTTATGCATATGTGTCATCTGGGCATAGTGTGAGCCTTGCCTGTGTGGGAGCAGGTGTGCAGATACCAATTACTTTGGGTGTTAATGAGAACTGGGAAGCCCATCTCACCCAGTGTCTTGGCCCCTGTTGAATATTTAATGGTGGTTATGAAGCTGCTTTGATAGCTAGGCATTAGTTTCTTGTCAAGTCTGGATTGTCCCGGGTAGAGCTCAATATCCCCCAGGCCAGGTATTATGGAGTAGGCTGAACAGGTCTGGCCATTCAGAGAGTCCACTCCATTAACTGGCCATCCATTCACTTCTCCACCTAACAGCTGAGCATCAGCTGGGCAACGGCACTGAGAAAAACAGCAGTCAACAGTTCCAGGCTGCAGGGACCCCTACCCACTCCACCCCCCCCACCACCAGTGTGGTATGGGACAGATAGCGTTAAATTCTGCATAAGTACTAGATTCTGGATAAGCCCATGTTGGCCACTTGGAAGGGACCTCTAACGAGGCTTGGAGGACCAGAGTAGGTGATAGCAGCTAGAGGCCATCTCTAATGTGTGGTGGGGGTCTCCAACATCGAGTGGAAGCCTATCCCAGCTTTCCCGGCAGGTCATCTCAGCATCCCCACCATCCAGACCCTCTGCAGAAGGCTTCCTCCCTGTATCCACCTTCAATGCGAAAAATCCCTCTCTGAAAAGGAGATTTTGGGCCAAGACCATGAGACCCAGCTCCTCATCCCTTTCTCTCAACCTTACTCTGTCCTCACCCACTTCCCCACCACCATACAAAACAGAACTTTATTTCTTTTTAATTTTTAAACTTTTTAAAAAAAGATTTACTTATTTATGCATACAAGACCTGGGGTGTAGACCAGAGGTGCGGGGTATGAGAGGATTCACCAGAGACAGAGCGGGGAGCAGAACAGGCAGACGGACTGAAATACACTGCTGAGGGGAGCAGCGGGCGAGACAGGAGAGGTCTGCTGTGCCATGAGAGCTCCCTGGCCAGGGACAGAACTCGCACTGAAGTAGCTGCTGATTATTTCATAGTGCTAACACGTAACCCCTGGTGCCACCAGGGAGGCCCCCAATTTTTAAACTTTTTTCACTGTGTTGGGTACTGCGTTCACAAAACTACTTGGAATCTGAGAATGACTTCAGACAGCAGTAATGCTTTATACTATGGAAACAAGCAAAACAAAACTTTGAAATGCTTCCTTATTTCTTGCCTTTCTTGAGTACGTGCCAGGAGGTGTGTGCAGGGTGAGAAAAGAGCAGAGCAGATACTAAGTACTAAGCATCCTGGGGAACAAAGAATGTGCCTTAGGTGGGGACTCACCTCCCAGCTGCTGGAGGGGACAGGAAGACCCGGAAATTCATGGTCCTCATTTAGGAGAAAGAAAAACTGCCCAACTTTCCAAATAGGAAGCCCGAGTTCTCTGGTACCTTGGGAGTAGCGCAGGGTGGATGGTCCAGAGGCTCCTTGCTTGGAAAGCTGCCAGTGTCATCACAGCATTCCCCACCTGTGCTTCCCACTCTGCTCCCCAGGGGTGACTGCCCAGTCGTGGCTGGTGGCCACTGTGGTCCTGGAGTTCCCCCGTGTTAGTTCCTTCTCTGGCCCGTGGTTCTGCCCAGGTTGTTGGCTCATGTCTCCTAGGAAAGAAAGTCTATTCTCGAAAGAGGCGTGAGAGTGTGCAAGAGCCCCGAGGAAGCTGAGTCCTCAAAATGTTGCTTTTAGCATTGTGCATGTGGAGTGTTTAGAATATTAATAATTATTGCTAATATCTATTGAACATACACCATGTATTGCACCTCTTCGAGGTAAATACTATTATTACTACCCTTTGATAAGTGAAGAAAATGGAGCACAGAGGGCCTAAGTAACTTGCCTAAGGTCACAGAGCAAAACAGTAGTGGGACTGGGATGTGAACCCAGGTGGGTCGGCTCTGTTGTATCCTACATCAGCTCAGTGCAACACAGGACTGTCAGCTAATGCCACAGGAAGGGATGTAAAATTTGGGTAAGAAACTAGATTCTTCTTCTTGGGTTGCTTCTGATATGCTTGGGGCTTTGCAAAATTCTAATAACCATTTGGTAGTGTGGGGGTGGGAAGGGGACACTTGGGGTTTCTCGGAGGATTCTCACAGAGAAATGGCAGGGTGAGAAAGGTATTTGGGTCTTGCTGACTTTTCTAGAAGCAGGTATTTAAAATTCTTAGATTCTCACATTTTGGGAGTTTGTTTATTCCACCTGGGTTTAGCAACAGAACCTTAGACTCCTTGTGATAGTTGGTCAACCGGTCAAAACTTGGATCCTTTATCTCTTCTGAGATGGTGATGATGATGTTGGTGAAAAGGTGGAGAATATAATGATGATCTTTCTATCCGTCCCTAAATATGTGCCCTCTAATTCATTTTCTTTTTTTTTAAGATTTATTTATTTATGCATGCAAGAACTGGGGTACAGGCCAGAGGTACAGGGATGAGAGGATTCACCAGAGACAGTGGGGAGCAGAACAGGCAGATGACTGAAGTACACTGCTGAAGGGAGCAGCAGGCGAGACAGGAGAGGTCTGCCACGCCATGTGGGTAGCTCCCTGGCCGGCCAGGGATCAAACTCATGCTGCAGAGGCTGTGAATAGCTTTATAGTGCTGTGCTTAACCCCTTGCACCACCAGGGAGGCTCTGATGATCTTTTCTACTCGTCACTAAATCTG